ACGCCGAAGCTTATCGATTTGCCGAACAGATTGAGTTGCACTATGGCATCTTTGAGGAAGATGGGTATTGGTGTCGAATGCCTTCGTCGACTGACAGAATTCATCGCCCTCCCCCTGGGTATGTGGGGGTATATACTCGACAACTTCAGTACGGGCTTCGTTTCCCTTAGATCCCTTCGCCAGGGACATTTTGATAAAGTACAGGATCTCCCTGTGCTAGTTGACGCCCGTCAGTATTCGGCGGGTGATGACCTATCTCTGGGTATGTCGGTTCTTTGATGTTGAACCGAACTTGCATTGTTTTCGAAGGATGCATCAGCTGGTGTAGAACACCCAGAGCGTATACGGTCACCATGGGGCCGGCTGGTGGCGAATCGAGAGCCATCCTCAATACCTGAATATGTGGCCGAACGATTCTTCGGATAAGGAATGGAGAGGCCAGTGGATCTGGGTAAGGGCTCCTGCTGATCCGGAGCACCCCTATTTTTTTGGGGCCCCCCGTTATCTCTTCAGGCCCGATCCGAACATGCAGGACTTGGGTCCCGAAGACCCTGATGCCGCTAGCCACCTCAGTTATGAACAGATGGACTTCTTCGGGAAGCAGAAAAATCCTGGGGGGAGTGGCCGAATGAAGTTCATCCCCACCCGATGGCTTCCAGATAACCACTACGTCTTCCAAAGAAGACGTTGGCAGTTGTCGGTCTGGGGTAAGTACCTTCGGCTGGGGCCGAGGACATTAATTTATTATTGCTTCATTTGTTTTGTTTATATCATAAGGCTAACCTTCACCTTCTCCTTTCAGAGATGAGTGAGGCTACCTCCGAAATCGACTACGATCAACTGGGAGTGAACGCTGAAAGGGTCATCTTAGACCGAGCTCCAGCGATTACTGCTCCGAAGGACCGTCCGCTGCATCTGCATTCAACGGGCCTTCAGATCGAGGCTGCTGCAGATTATCTGAAGCAGAAGCCTTGGTGAGAGAAGCGGGATCCTTTGAGGCCCCTGCTAGCCGAAGAAGTGCTCGCCGCTCAAGCTGCTGCGGAAGTGACCAGAGCCATCAACTCCCTGGAAAGGGGTGAAGGGACTTTTGGTGCTGTCAAGGCTCAGCCGAGGACTTTGGTAACGCCTTCAGCAAAACTTTTTCTTCTTTTTTCTCTTTTTTTTTTTTTGACTGATCCCTCCTTGCTCCCCCACTTCTACAGTCTGAGGAAGAGGGCAGAAGGAGAGAAGGGAAGGCTACATTATCGTCAGACGACCTCTTAGAGCTCGACTCTTCGGATTCTGACGATATGGACGACCAGTGATGTGTCTATTTTATATAGTATTTTACCCCCGTCCCTTGATCATAATTAGTAGTGTTTTTGGCTCTTTAGAGCCACTTTTATTACTAATTGGTGCTTTCTAGTGTTTTCGTAGATTTGTTTGACTTTTGCAGGGATTTATACTTTTTGAGTATTTTCCCGAGATATTTTGGAGCAATCACGAGCATTGGAGAAGCACGACCAGAGATTCAATAGCCTAGGGCCGGTTAGAGACATCGGACCGGTGATTAAGGGCTCGGTATAGGTGATACCGGGGCATTTGGACCGAGTATTCAAGATTTATTTTGGTAATGATTCCTCTTCTCTTAATCTTAGTTATTTATTCTATTCCTTTAATCATGTCTTATTTTATTGCTTTGATTTGTTTAGTTTTTAATATGTGTGAGTAGTTTAATTTCTAGGGTTTATGGGAATCTAATAAATAATATGAAGGGGTAATTTATTGTTGTTGATTATCAATGCTAGATTAATTTCCTATTGATTGATCGATTTAATGCTATGTGACTAGATTAGGCCTATCTTTTATGCATGAGTTTGACAATATTAATTCAAGATTCGAGAGATGAGAATTGATGTTTAGGTCTAGTTTCAATAGGCAGATTAATTTATAAAAGGTTAAGTCGAGATTCGAGAGATGAGATTTAATACCGGTAGATTAATTCTGTGATTGTAATACGTAGGGAAAGTCCTTTACAATCTGGTTAATTGATGCATTGATGATTGACTATTATTAATTGTTGGTATTGCAAGATAATTTCTTATTGAATTGTTTTAACGTTTTACAATTCCGGCTTGTAAAAGTATAGCAATATTGAATTAATGAATCGAGCAGATTGTTAATTTGATATTAAAGGCTATTTTCAATAAGAACTTAGATCTAGTAAATTGCGAGAGCCTGTTAGATCTATGTTGATTAATAAATTGCGAGAGCCTGTTAATCATGTTATTTATGCAATGTCAATGATTGATTACTATGTTTTACCCTAGAGTATTATTTATTGGTGAACCTATACCCTAGATCCTTTTATATATTGCTTTTTCCCCTATTCCTTTTCCTTGTAGTTTAGTTTCATACTCAAATATAAATATTGGTTACTTAGATAATTTAGATTATAATAATTAATTAGGAGTAAAAAGACTTGTTTCCCTGTGGAGATCGACCCTACTTCCCTATCTACTTTAGTTAGAGGATTTAGGTATTTACTTTTGATTAGGGGATACGACTTTACCCTGTCAACCAGCCTCTGGAGCAGAGGAAGAGAAGGAGGACGGGCCCAACTGTTATGGGTCCGGGAGACTTCACGTTGAGGCCGATGCCTGGCGTTGTAATAAGGGAACCTGCTGCTGGCCGAGGCAGGGTTCCAAGAGGCACAGGGGGTCCTCCACCCCCGACTCAGCCACCGCCACCAATTCCGTCGCCGCCGAGGACCCCTCCACCACCTCCTCCTACTGATGACATGGAGTTGGACCAGCGAACTCCTGATCCAAAGGAGGGGGTTCCCGAAGCGGTTTCCAACAAGGGGAGTGCTGCTGAGCTCCCTGAGGTTGAGGTTATTGAAGTAGCTGAAGAGGCGGATACTGCTGAAGACGAGGCCCCTAGGGGCTTCACTGCTGAGATTCAACGAGAGGTTGACGCCTTGACAAGTCAACCTCTCGAGGAGGCTGAAGGGGTCCAGACTGGAGGGGACCATGCTGAAGGAGGGGTAACGACTGAGCCCGAAAAAGTGGATGAGGTACCATCAACTTCGTTCCCCTCTTTCAAGTCTTTCCAGTCTGGGGACATGGGGTTCTCAGCCAAGAAGTGTTCTATCCCAGATGGCGTTAGGGCCGAAATCTGGGGGAGACACAGGAAAAGCGCTGAGGCTTACTTCGGCGGTTGCTCCGAATTATCTGAAATGGAGCAAGTCCGAGAGTGGTCTGTTCGGGCAACCGCTGGAATTGCCGAACCCGGTCCCTCAGTACCAGATCCTGCCAAAGACAACCAGAGGCTGCTGATGCAGGTATGTAATAATATTCTGCACCTTCAGCATTTCCAGTTTACTCCATTTGCTTGTAACTTTATTTATCTTAAATTTAATCCCTGTTCTGCAGGTTGTCTACAACCACACCTTGACCTGTGAGATGATTGACACGCTCCAGGGGAGGGTAGACATCGCTGAGACAGAGGCAAAGCTTGCCCAACTGAAGCAGGAGAAAGCCGAGCACAGGGCTAAGGTCGTGATCGACTCCTTCAACACTTTCTGTGCTGAAATGGAGAAGGATGTCTTGCCTCAAATAGATGAGGGTGAGGCCCTGCTCTAAGCTTTCAACGCGGTTGACGTCCCTAGCCTCAAAGCCAAGATCGAGCACAAAATCGACGTTGAGGTTCAATCTCAAGTGCTGGCCCGAGAGGAAATATCTCGGCAGAAGATCAAGATCTTGGAGGCTGACGCCAAGCAACACCGCCAAGCCTGCGAAATGAGGGAGAACGAGCTGGTCGAGGTTGGGGTCCAGCTAGAGTCTCAGCGGCAAAGCATCACCAGCCTGGAGGTTCAGCTGAAGAATCAGGAGGAACATCTCTCCCAGGCTCGAGACAAGGCTGAACAGACTGAGTAGAGGCTTGTTGATGCCAAGGCTCAGTTGAAGGCACAGCGGGAGTCCTCCCAGAAAGCCTTGGATGAGGTGCAGAAGAAGCTGACCGATGCTGAGGCTCAGCTAGCCCTCAGGGTTTACACCCAGGAGGAGTATTCGACTGCCTACCTCAACGGCTACGGGGTGGCTCGGAGATTGGCTCTCCATACTGCGCCTGATATGGACTGGTATCAATGCGAGATCTGGGCTGAAGACCCCAAGGATCCTCATATGCAGCAAGCCAGTCAAGCTGAAGTCGATCTGCTGGCCCGCCTCCAGGCCGAGGATGCTAAGATGGAGGAGGCTGAGATGAAGGAGGTTGAAGCCCAAGCTCCATTTCAGCCCGCCTCTTCTGCAGCTGGGGCTGATGCCACGTTGGACTCCAACCTTGCTGGGAGGCCTGACCCCTTAGCTGAAGCCTAGGGACTCGGGCAGTCGTCTTTAGAATCTTGCGGATCAACGTGCTCTTAAAATGATAGATGCCGCTTCTGAATGTTTTTTACCTTTGTTTTTGCTTCAGCTTGCCTCAGTGTACAAACTATTTACTTTTTGCCTTATACGCATTTCGACAGCTGTTATTTTCCGCTTGTGGGCGGCTGCCGATATTTTATTTCTCTTTACTTAAGACACTTATGCTTTGTAGCTCGTAGTCCGAGCATGATTTCCTGTTTATGAATTTGATATTTCCCTCATATTGCCTTGCTTTGAACTTGCATGTTTGAATTCGCTTTGAACGAGAGTTCATTTCAATTTTCAATTCAATTTTTTTTTTTTTTTGCTAAGTACAAGGCTTCGGCTCAAAGGTCTCAGCTGAGGCAGCTGCACTTGTTGTGCTTCTTGCCCCCCCCCCCCCAGAGATTTGAAGACTTGTTCTTCGGATTTCTGAGGTCATTTTTGTTTTCCTTGTTTATTTTCTATCAGTTATGCTTTTGCTCTTGATTTTCTGTCTATCTAAAAATGGATATCTCCAACACAGGGCCAACCGAAGGCAGTGTTTCAGATAATGGCCATCTGGGATACAAGGCTCAGTTAAGGCAATATCCCATATTTGTCCATAGACTCATTGCCTTATAGAACAAGTCTTACTGAGGTTTTCACCCCAGCTGAAAGACCAGAGTTCTTTAAAAAGGCGAGTTTATCGGCAATCCGAAACCTGGTGCTCTGAGGGCGAAGGTTTCGGAAAGGGCCGAAGGAAACCCTTAAAGAGTAGATAACATAAAGAAAAAAATGGAAGAGTAAAGATTGCAAATGTTTGTAGAAAATAGTGGCTCTGAGGCCTTTTATTAATAATTCAAAATGTACTTACAAAGATTTTTCTGCCCCGAAGGATTTACACATGATATTTTTTAAGTACATTAGCATTCCAGTGATTTTTCAGCTCAGTTCCATCCAACTGCCGAAGCCGGTACGTTCCTGGCTGAAGCTCATCATAGATTTCATAGGGTCCCTCCCAAGCAGCTGAGAGCTTCCCATGAATTCGGTTTTTCTGTACTGCAGCAGCATTCCAAAGGACGAGGTCTCCAATTTTGAGAGGCCTTGCCTGGACTCTTCGGTTGTAAAATTTGCTGATTATCTGCTTGTATGCAGCCATTCTGACTCGGGCCGAGTCTCTTACTTCGTCAAGGAAATCGAGAGATTCCTTCATAAGTTGCTCATTCTCGGCCGAGAAGTGGTGCACTCGCACACTTTCAGTGTCAATTTCCACTGGGAGAACGGCTTCGGCGCCATACACCAATTCAAAGGGTGAATGGCCCGTTTCCTCTTTTTCGGTTGTCTGAAGGGACCAGAGAGTTCCTGGGAGCTCTTCCAGCCATTTGGACTTTTGATCCTCTACCCTCTTTTTGAGGGCATTCAGAATATGTTTATTTGCAGCTTCGGCTTGTCCGTTACTTTGCGGGTGGCAAACCGCTGAATATGCCAGTTTGATGCCAAACTGATCTGTATACCGCTTCAGCGGCAGATTATCAAATTGTCTTCCATGATCAAAGAAAAAAACTTTCGGGATGCCGAAACGAGTGATGATATTCTGCCAGATAAACTTCCTGACAGTTTGCTTCGTAATGTTTGAGGCTGCTTCGGCCTCAATCCATTTACTGAAATAGTCGACACCGACTATCAGCCATTTTTTCTGGTATGCGGCATCCGAAAATGGGCTCAGGATATCCAACCCCCATTGGGCAAATGGAAGTGGACTCAGCACGGGCTGAAGCTCCTGGGCTGGCTGATGGATGACTGGTGCGAATTTCTGACATTTTTCGCATTTTCTGACCAGTTCCTTGGCGTCTGAGATCATGGTGAGCCAGTAGTACCCTGCCCTTAATGCTTTGTGGGCTAGGGTCCTTCCCCCAATGTGGTTCCCATAGATGCCGAGGTGAATTTCCCGAAGGATGTAATCTGCATCTGTCGGCCCCACGCACTTCAGCAACGGGGCTGAGAAGGATTTCTTCAGCAGCTCTCCCTTGAAGACAATGAACCTTGGACCGGTTCGCTTCAACTTGGAGGCCAAAATTTTGTCTTCGAGAATTTCTCCCCGAATCTTGAAAGCTAGGATGGGATCCATCCAGCTTGGTTCCTGGTCAACGCAGCACACTTCAGGTGCTTCGTTGACACTTCTTTCTCGGCGCACTTCCACGTAAACCGACCGGTTCGTCTCGGTGAGATTTGAACTAACAAGTTTAGAGAGTGCATCGGCTTGTGCATTCGGACCCCTTGGGATTAGCTGAACTTCAAAAGTTCTCAGCTTTGCAAAAACTGATTTGATCTTGGCGAGGTATGGTATCATCGAGGGCTCTTTGGCCTCGTAACTGCCACCAATCTGATATGCGACTAGCTGAGATTCTGTTTTTAGACAAACATGTTCGGCTTCCAGCGAGATGCACAATTCTAGGCCGGCAATGGCCACCTCATATTCGGCTTCGTTGTTCGAAGCTTTGAATGAAAATTTCAGTGTATACTCGAAGGACTTGCCTTCAGGAGAGGTTATAACCACCCTGCCCCCGAACCATTCACGGTGGAGGATCCATCTGTGAACACAGTCCAGGTTTTCTTTTCATCGTCCAGCGTCTCCTGGTACGAGCATTCGGCCAAGAAGTCCGCCAGAGTTTGAGCTTTTATTGCCGCTCTCGGCTAGTAGCTGATGCTGAACTTTGTGAGCTCGAAAGCCCATTTTTCCAGCCTACCAGATTTCTTAACTTTGCCGAGAACCTTTTCCAGCGGCTGATCAGTCAAAACCACTATCTGATGGCAATCAAAATAGGGTCTTAACTTCCAAGCAGCTACCACCACCGCATAAGCAACTTTTTCGAGTAAGGGGTAGCGGGTCTTGGCATCCTTCAGAGTGTGACTGACGAAGTAGATCGATTGCTGCATTTTATTTTCTTCCCTCAGCAGCACAGCACTGATGGTGGCTGGGCTGACAGCCACGTACAAGTACAGGGACTCTCCCTCTACTGGGCTAGCCAGTGTTGGAAGTTGAGCTAGATGCTCCGAAGCTGCTTGAAGGCTTCTCCTTGCTCGTCCTCCCAAACGAGCTCTTTTGTTTTCGAGAGTTTCAGGGCTTTAAAGAAAGGTAACCCCTTATTCGAGGCCCTGTAGATGAACCTCGAGAGGGCTGCCATTCTTCCGGTGAGCCGCTGAACGTCCCTCTTTGTTTTCGGCTCGGGAAGGTCGAGCGCTGCCTGCACCTTGGCGAGATTGGCATCTATCCCTCTTTTGCTGACCATGAACCCCAGGAATTTCCCTGACTTCACGCCAAAAACACACTTCTTCGGATTCAGCTTCATCTGGTGCTTTCTTAAAGTGGCGAAAGTTTCCGCCAGGTCCTTAACATGGTCTTCATCTTTTTTGCTTTTGACGATTGAATCGTCAACGTAAACTTCCATGTTTTGGCCCTTTTTCTCGGCGAAAACTTGGTCCACCAGACTTTGATATGTTGCCCCCGCATTTTTCAATCCGAAGGGCATCATTCTGTAATTGTACACCCCGGCGTTCGTGACGAATGTCGTCTTTGCTCGGTCGTCGGGGTGCATGAAGATATGATGATACCCAAAAAATGCGTCCATGAAACTAAGCAAGGCGTGACCACTTGTCGAGTCGACTAACTGATCGATCCTCGGCAAGGGATAAAAATCCTTCGGGCATGCCTTATTTAGATCCGTGAAGTCAACGCACATTCTCCAGGTGCATTTGCCTTCTAAACCATCACCACATTGGTCATCCATTCTGGATACTGACAGGGTTCGATGAAGCCCGCATCCAGTAAATTTTTTACTTCGGCTGGAATGTCTTGGTTCTTATTTGCGGAGTAATTCCGCTTCTTTTGCTTAACTGGCCGACACGTTGGGTCGACGTTCAGCTTATGGGAGATGAGGTCTGGGCTTATCCCGGGCATGTCAGCTGCCGAGAAAGCAAACACATCTCGGTTGTCCCGAAGGAGTTAGATGAGCTCAACGCGGACTTTTGGATCAAGATCCAGCCCGATTGTAAAGCATTTTTTTGCGTCTCCTTCGGTCAACTCGACCGTTTCGGTCTGCTGGTCCAGCTCCATTGCCGTGGGGCTGGACTCTTCGTTTTCTGACCTGCTGTCTATGTCAGCAGGGGTCCTAGATTTTTTCTTCTTTGGCTGGCTCTCTGAGTCTTTTGACTCAGATGATGAGCTAGCTTTTTCTTTTCCTGGCCCTTTTTCTTTGGCCAGGTCTCCTTGAGCTGAAGCACTTAAGCCTTTCGGCTTCTTCGCGCTCGGCTGCCTTTCTTTCTCCTCCTCATCCTCGTCGTCCTCCTTTTCACAACTAGTGGATGGCTTGAGGTAGTTGCACCTTCGGGCCTCCTTTTGGCTGCCCTCGATCCTTTCGGGGTAGCCGACATCCGAGACATAGATCATCAACTTATGGTATGTCGAGACTACCCCTTGGATCTCGTGAATAATGGGTCTCCCCATGATCACGTTGTACACAGAAGGAGCGTCGACGAGCAAGAATTCGGTCATGACGTTCCTGGCCGCCTCATCATAGCCAATGGTGACAGGAAGTGTTACCTTCCCGTCTGGATAAGTTGAAGCCCCATTAAATCCGGATACCGGGTAGGGTACCGGCGTGAGGTGCTTGAGCTTCATCTTGATTTGGTTGTAGGCCTTTCGGAACAAAATGTTTGCTCCGCTACCACCATCAACAAGGACCTTGCTGACATCATGGTTGGCCACCGTGGCGATGATCACCAACGGATCCTCATGAGGGTATGTCACCCCCCGATAGTCGGCGGATGTGAATGTCATATTCGGCACCGGCGACTGGGGAGGCTGAATGCTAGCATTGTTCACTTGGTGGGTCAAAGCCCTAAGGTGATGTTTGTGCTCCCTCCGAGTACATATTCCTCCCGAGATAACGTTAATTGGAGGAAATTTTCCCTCCGCATTTTTGCTGTTCTTTCGGGGGAAATCGAGTTCTTGCCGAGAGTCCTTTTCGGATTTCTCAGCCTCTTTTTTCTCGCGGTGATCCGCGATGTATTTTTCAAGTATCCCTTCTGAACCATGTCTTCGATTTGGTCCTTCAGCTGGATACACTCCTCAGTGTTGTGTCCTGGTGATTCGTGGAACTCACACCACTGATTTTTATTTTTACGCTGATACCACTCAGGGAGTGATCTCGGCTTCTTATAACTCTGCTCTTCCTTCGTCACGCTGTAGATCTTAGCGCGCGGAAGGGTCAGCGGAGTATAAGATTCATATCTGCCTGTGAAAGGGGCAGATTTTTCTTTCTTCGGCTCGTTGGCCGAAGATTGTTCCAAGGCTTTCACCTTTCCTTTCGCCTTCTGGCCTTGGCCTTCAGATGATTGTTTTTGCTTCCCACCCCCAGATTAGGGTTGGGATTTCGTTTTGTTCCACTCTTCGGCTCGGATGAATTTATCCGAGGCGTTCAGAGCCTCCTCTAGGGTCTGCGAGGTATGCATAACCATGAAGTCCAGGAACTTCCCAGGCTGAAGGCCATTATGCATTGCAAAAACAGCCAGCCCCTGATCCAGCTGAGAAACGCTAGATGACTCGTTGCTGAAACAAGTCAAGTAGTCTCGGAGACTCTCGATCTCCCCTTGCTGTAGGCCCATGAGCTCTGCAGTGGTCTTCTCTCGGCGGTTTTTCGTGGAGAATTTTCTCTTGAACTTGGTGGACAGATCGTCCCACCCCGTTATAGAGCCTTCCTTTACTCCCTTGGAGATCCATGCTTGCGCGACCCCCTTGAGAGTGGTGGGAAAATATTTGTACCAGGTCGCTTCAGACCTAGGGCAAAGATGCATGTGCCCCTCGTAAGAGGCAATATGGTCCTTCGGATCCGAAGTTCCATCGTATGTAATATGCGACGAGATTTTAACCGTCGGCACATGCTCTTCCAGAATCCATTGCTCGAATGGAGAACTGGTAGGAAGCATCACAGCCTTACCCTTGTTCCTGGCCAAAGGGACCGCGCTCTGCCCTCTTAGAGAGGTAGGAGTGGTTTTCGTCCCTGGATGGGAAGTTCAGGCCTCGGCTACAGGGAATGAGAGGCGGCTATGCACACTCGGCTCCCTACCGCCGAGTCGGTCGAGGACGCTGCGGCGAACAGTCTCCGGCCGCCCTCGGCGAACAGTTTTTGGCCGAGAGGCAGAGCTGCTGCTTTTGTGAGTTTCTGGCCGAGAGGTAGAGGATCCTTTGAAGAAGTGAGGGCTCTTTTTCCTCTCTCTTTCGGTCCTCCAGGTGTCCTCTTCCCACTCTTCCAGCTCCCTGGAGGAGGGAGGTTTCCCCCCCTCTTGGTCGAGCTTTCTCCACTAATGCCTGGTATGCGGAGGAGTTCGGTCACGAGGTGGAGGCATATTTTGTGCCCTCATTTCTTCCATGAGCACCGCCAGCGCTCTTGCCACTTCTTCCGAGCTGGGCCCCGTTAGAGGGGTCCTCGGCTGAGTGTGAGAGTGAGAGCGGATGGTCAAAGGTTGGCTTTGAGGCACTAATTGAGTCCTATGATCGGACTGACTTCTGTTAGACCGAGGAGGACTCGGTCTATGATGAGATTGGTGAATTATGGGAGAAAGGGAATCCTCCCGGTATGATCCTCCCCCCGAACTGGCACCCTTAGAAGAGTTTCGGTCCGGAGAAGGTGATGGTGTAGGAGTTTTAGGCCTTTCGCCCGCTCCTTGACTTAGTCGCTTGTTCTTGCGGTTCTTAGCCATTGCTACTAAGATTTTTGCAAGACGATTTTAATTGGCTTAAAGATTTTTTGAAAGTCTTCCCCACAGACGGCGCCAAATTGTTTCGAGTGAAACAATGGGACCCTGCCGAAGGTCCAATAAGGTGGATGAAGACTGGTCCGGTCCAAATAATGATGGGCCAAAGGTTTCCTGCACAACAATTACACATAAACTGGCCTCGGGGGTGGATCCGAGGAAAACCCCTCCGATGCCGAAGTCAAACAGTGTTTAGAGAGAAAAGCTATGCAAGAGAGTTAATGCTTGAAGCTTTAGTTGTGAATGATAAATGGTGCAATTGAAGGCTTTTATACCTTAGCATGATAAAGGGAGGAGGATGGCTGGGCCGGAAATAGTCATGGGCTGACCATGACAATTTGGGCCGCTTGACCTTATGCTGACTTGGCTTAATGGAGGCTTGGGCCTTGACCTTGGAATATTGAATCATTTAATGACTAGGCCCAATTGGCTTAATTGGACCCAAACAATAATAAATTCATTACAAAGTACTTCGAATTTACTACTCCATAAAACTTCATTGATTCTAATATTAACTCTTGGAGTTTAATCATATAACTGATCATCATTTAGACCTTTTCAAAGTAGTGGAGGGGGTAATCACCATCCCCAAACACTCCTAATCTGCCAATAAAATTTTCATTCTTATCTTATAAGGTTGTTTAACTTCGGCTTCTTTACTAAAATTCTGAATTCTAAGTTTATACATAGATTCTTTTATCTTAAATTGATTGTATTTAAATTTCTAATGATATTTTAGGATTAAGTTTTCGAAGATTAATTATCAAGTAGGTTATGGATTCCTTAGAAACTACAAACTATATTTTCACCTTTTAAATCAGTATAATTGGTTAATTCAACTTGAGCTTATTATGAATAATGATACTTCGTTATTTGGATTCTGAAAAATGGGTTTACTCTGTATTTCCTATATTTTTTTACTATCTGACTGTATTCTATCACATGATAAATTAGCCTTTTTTAAAGGTAAGGGAAATTGTCCAAACAGGGTAGTACTCCTTACTTGGGGCAATTGTCACCACTTAGGCCGGTTTTGATATACTGAAAACAACTGAATTGAACCGAACTGAACTGATTGGAGTTGAACTAAATTCATATTAAGCTGATCAAAACAGGCCCTTAAG